CAGAATGCATCAGCAAGGGGAGAGTCTACTGAGTCTACTGAAAATCTTATTTTTTATCGGTCATATTGCTTTGCTTGGATCATTTTTGTTTCATTACAAAATCAAATATTTATACTTCACAACTGAGATATAGTTGCCATCTCATTGCTTGAAGAGACCTTACAGCCACTAGAAATTATAAACTGACTATTCCTTATCCATGTAACAGACAAATAAATAAGGCACAATTTGAATTAAATTTTTATATCGCATTTAAAGGGGTATCGTGGGCACAATGAAACTGAATAAAACCCATGATCGAATGAATCGCTACTGGAAAGGTTTCGACCAGAAGGCGTACGGACGATTATTCACCATCAAATGAAATAAAAGTCGCGACCAATAGTTCTCCTCCAGGAGAGTCACCCCCACACCACTTCCCCTAAATGCAGCGCGCTCTGCTAGCAGCGCCGGCGGATGGGTCACTCGCTCGCCAGCCTTCGGGACGCACAAGCGACCAGCACCACCACCGCAGCCGCTGCTCGTCAGTGCTATCGACAACGTGCCGGGCCTCCACCAGTTGCTACCGCTTTCGGCTGTGCCTTCGCCTGCACCTCCGCCCTCGCCGTCGCCACGACCTTCGCCTCCGCCTTTGCTGCCACTCCTGCCAGCGTGCGCCCCGCCCAGCCACAGCGTCCGCCCCTTCCGAGGAGGGACGCCCACGCATCTGCAGCCGCGTTCCCGCACCCCCGAACCCTCCGGCCGCGCCGCGCCCCGCCGCCTCTGGCAGCAGCAGAGGAGATACACGGCTCGCCCCCGAGAATGCGATGTAGCCCAGAAACATTCAAACAGCTGGACGATTCATTTTCAGCGCTAACGTAGCGTCAGGATTGTATTGAATTTTAGGAAAAATTGGAAACAGCAACACTCCGTGAATAGCACACTACTTCTACGTCTAGCATTACATTACCTGAGCCAATTTTTAAAATTATTATGATATAAAAAACGAGAGTAAATGGACGTAAAAGAAAATATGTTACTTCAAAAGAGGGAAGAATTCCTCTCATACATGTTTTAGGTAATGGACAAAACAACACACTGGTTAAAATAATTTAAAGCAGAACGGGACCACTAATACTATAAATTGTGAGACGTTTGTAATGATTCAAGGGCTACAGAGTCGATTGTCTGGTTTCCAGTTCCAGTAGATCGAAAACGTGGCGCTGACCGGCAGAATGGAGGGAGCACAGCGAGGGCCGGCCGAGCGGAGCGCAGCGCGACGGGGAGCGCGGAGGGCGGAAGTGAGTGCGGGCGCACTGGCGCCACGGCGGCGGCGGCGGCGGCGGCGGCGGGGGCCAAGCGAGGAGGGGCGGGGCGGGGCGGGAAGCGTGTAGTTTCCGATGCAAGCGGGGCGTCGCCTCTCACTTCGTTATCCCGCCACGCACGCCGCCTCCCCTCCCCTCCCTTCCCGCCCTTTCCTTTGTTGCCATTCAAACGGCCTGGAAATGAATGCGCCACGCTTATTACGGCCTACGCCGAAGAAAAGTCCTGAATTCACAAAACCCGACAAGCTCCCTCCCCCTCCCCTCCTCCCACCCGTCCCCTGCGCAGGTCCCTCTCCACACGAGAAAAGGAGGGGACGCAGGGCTGTTGCGGGCCCACGGGAGAATCGAGCTCCGTGGAAGCGCTGGACAAATACAGCTAATTAGAAAGTATGCGTAAAAATAGCGCGTGTTGCTCGGCGACCGAAAAAAGAGACGCGTTCACAAGGCGCTCTTTCCTGGAACGGCCGCCTTGAGAGCGGCGTAGGACGGTGGCGTGGGCGCGGCGCGGCGGCGGGGCCGGGCAGGGGGCGGAAGGAGTCGGGCTGTTGAGTGAACGGAGGCGGAGACGCGGTCGCCGGATAACCGCTTGGGAATCGGGAGGCGGCAAACACCACGCAAAAGAGTAGGCCCAACTTGAAGACTCACAAGGTAAAGATGCTGTGAAGCGTTTTGGAAGAGCTAAGGGCTCGGAGATAGCTCGATCTTGGGACGTACGCCGCAACGACCTGCTTGGAAGGAAACTCATTTTGCTATATCTAAATGATCTATTTTGAAAGATCAAACAAAAGCAGTTGATGGCATAAATAATTGTCGAACATGTGCAACCAGTTTCTCAATACTGGTCTTGCACTGTCGGATGAAGAAACAAATGTATTTACCCATGTCAAACATCTGGTAGACACAGATATGTAATCGCGTCTTGATTTTGCATATTGTAAATGACCTGAACGACAGCAAAAAAGATGAACGTTTTATTGCACGAGGGAGAAATAGAGATATCGCTCCACATAAAAAGTAAGATCCATCCGCCCCTATTTCGGAACTCAGGATTACAGGAAGAAATCTTGGTGCATGTTGCGAAGCACAGGCGGCCTATGACACGTCATTGTGAGCTTGTGTAGTTCGTGTGGAGCCAGGCAGGCAGCGCTGTGGCTGCAAGAGGGCCTGGTTGGGTTGATGGCCGCCAGATGCCGCGCCTCTCCGCAGGGGGCGGCAGAGATCGATCCTGCGGCCGGCAGTCGATAGCCGAGGCGCTCGACACCACGACGTTGCGGCGCGCTGCCCACGACTCGCGCAGAGAGCGACTTTTTAAAAAAAGTAATGACTTATGATTAATAATATCAATTCTCAAAAGTTTCCATAACTAGATACTAAAAAAATACTATATGTTTGGAAATATTTAAACAGAAAAAAATGCGCTGAAAATTTACGTTTCCACTGAATAAAATTCTTGTCAAGTAGCAGTGAAAAGTATGATTGATTGTTGATTATTTTTTCTCAAAATGTTTTATTTATTCGAGTACTTGTGTATGTATTTTTTACAGTTTTTAAAGAATATTTGAAGTTGCATGGGGATATTTCATATAGTCATTAAATCAATGAATGCAATACCATTACAGTCTGTTAAAGCTGTAATTAGTTTTCACAAAACAATTGTTGATTAATTTACATGAATGAAATGGATTACACGCGGATAACAACGATCAATTCACAAACCTTCCAAAAAACACCTTCACATAAATATATGTTAAAAAATGAACATTAATAAATGCTTTCCCGTCGAGATCCAGTGCTCTGACGAATACTCCCGAAAATGATGTGACCATTTCAAGTTTATTTTACAAGAAAATTTTTCATTGACGCAAGATTGACATTGTTGTTTATATAAAAACACGTGCATGATTTCGTATCATTATAACTCAAAACATAGATCCCGATAAAATAATATATATTCTTAGTAATCACTTTCAGAAATGCACGCTTTGTTTGTGTTTGGACCATTTCCGCACTTCTGAGAGCCGTGCACAGGTCCCAGGTACGCCGCGCGCCGTTCATGTGTTCAGTCAGCCTCCGCCAGGTCAAACACTAAGAAAGTAGGGCGCTAACTGTTGAAGGAAGGGGGAAGTATGCCAGCCGTCCCCCACTAGAGAGTTTGATGTTCCATGGTCGAAAAGTATTAATTTATTCTTGACAGATGCATATTAATCCGTTTCCAGTAGTTCTGTATCACATTTTATTAACGTATGATTTATCTTTTACTAGGCGAGCCAACTGAGAAAGTAACAGACTGGAGTTTATAGTAATTTTCTTACCAACAGTTAATAAAAAAAATGAAAACGTTGATAACATCTTTTCACCGATGATTGTTTACAGTTTTGAACTTTTCTTCACTCCAGTTAATTGACAAATCGCAACCTGGCTGTGAACCCGGATCCGCGGCTTGAAGGGGCCGGGGCTTCCTCTCTCTTCATTTATCAATCTCGTTATATTACAATCAATTTCCAGATTCTTTCAATCGATGGCGTGTACAGGTGAACGATCATCTAAATTTGGTCGTTTTTTCCCGTTCCGTAAAATCTCAAGATATATTGTTTCTAAATTTGAAAACCAAAATATGCACGAAAATCCGATTTATTTAATGATACCAAGAGTAAATAAGGAGGTGCACGCAACTTATGTCATTTCTTTTATTATCCCACAGGCAATATTCTATAGTGAACAATACAGCATTTTATGGCCTCAAAACACTACTAATATTGTTTAATGTGGACTATTAGCACTGTTTTGTACCACAACAACAATTATGTTATAAAATACATTCTCCCCTGGCTTCAGAAGGTCAAAATTTTTTACATTTTGAAAACCGTTTATTTTCACGATTACGTTTACAATAAAAACAAAGTTTAAATGTACTTACTTTATTCATTTTAACCAGAGACGTTTCTGTACTTTAATTTTTGTTATTTTCTCCGAATGCGTTCACTAACCCCCCTCCCATTAGTCCTTACAGCATGTTATATTTGCAAAAGTGATCGAATAATTTACACATCTATTGTCAACACCCTTCTTCTGACAACCCAAACCTATTGCCTATGTAACTGCATTAATAGACACTAAATAATTGACTCTTTTGAGCGACCAAAACAATTTTTGTTGAATGCTGACTTTTTTCAAAGAAGGCAAGTACGAACGCTAAAGACAAAATATTAATAACGTCGTGAACTGCGCCCTGAAATCTCTGCATATGGAATAGCGCATAGATGTAAGTCTCTATAGTGAAATATTCGAAGGAATTAAAACAAAAAGGGGAAATATAAATAAGTAGAAAAAAGATACTTTATATATAACTAATTACAGTTCTTGTTGAAGTTTCTTTTCACACGAATGTCTTACACCAATATAATTCATAAGCATATTTCATAATTTTCTATCCAGAAAAGATAAAGAAGGTAGCAGAACGTAATCAAATTACCAGAAGTGTACGTACAAGAGAAGGTTTGGAGAAGAAATAATATTTGATACGACTGTTTCGTCTTCGTTGAAGTTTGTTATTTTTGATAATCCTCAGTTGTATTAAAAAACAATGATATATTTCTTACCCTTCTAAAGTTTCCACTACATTTTCCGAGATGAACTACTATCGCTGAGGTAACACTGTCAAGTATTATAAATGATGTAGTGAATGTAATCTATTTGCTAGGCGACTTCTCGGTTATTGAAATCAGATCTTTAAAGTGAAATTATTTAAAAATATCCCGCATGTATGCATTTCAATTATTCAATGAATGTCAACCCACGAATTCAAGTAGCGATCAAATGCGCGAGACATTTAGTTTTATTGTTTCGTATATTTCATTCTTGTTTAACGGTTCAAAAATTAACAATAATCCTATAAACACTGGTTACAAATCCAATTTAGGCTGCCTTCACACGGAGCCACCGTGAAACGGCAGTGCCCTTCACATGCAGCCACCACCAAACGCCACTGAACGCGAGAGAGGATGAAGTGGTGAGTCAAACCGCTGTGAGCTCCGGCGTCCGAAACAAAGCCAACAGGTAAAAACCGGTTCAGTGGCGCATGCAAGTGGTCTAGTGCTAAGGCTGCACTTAAGAACTGTGATCTGCTGGCGGTGGCGCGGACGCGCGTCACAGCTGCTGGTTACCACCGAGCGTCACAGCAGCGCAACTCACCCGCTATTGTGAATACCTCCACTTAAACCAATGCTTTTCCAGCACATGTGCCGCTCGGAAGCGCTGCTGAGTGGCAACGCGTGAAAGGGTCCTTAGCTTTGAATTTGTATTTAAAAAATGCTCACAAAGTGAATTCCTGATTTAAACCCGGTGTTTGGTAATTAAACGTTCAATTCCCGAACCTCGATGGGCGAGTAGGGAGGGCTTGGGCTTACCTCCAGGTGAGGTTGGTGTAGTCCCACTTGCGGCCGTGCAGCGCGAAGCGGCGCGGGCGGCGCCGGCCCCCCGGAGCTCGCTGCGCGCGCGGCGCGTCCAGGTCGGGCAGCCCGCAGCGCGGCCGCGCCAGCAGCTCCCGCGTCGCCTCGTCTATCTCCCCGGTGGGCGCGATGTTCCCGTACACCTGCGCACGCACACCACACCCACTCACTGCCACGGACCGAGGGATAGCTGAGATATGCCAAACGCTCACTGCCTTGTGCAACGGATAGCGCACGCACACCACATGCTCACGGCCACAGCCTTAGTGTCAGCTAAGATATGCCAATAGCTCATTGTCTGAAGCAACGGATAGCGCACGCACACCACACGCTCAATGCCACATCCCAGGGGATAGCTAATGGATGCCAAACGCTCTCTGCCTTATGCAATGGATGACGCAAGTTTACCACTCGCTCACTGCCAGGTACGAAGGGATAGCTAACATTCGCCAAACGTTCGCTGCCTTATGCCACAGATGACGCATGCACAACCACACGCTCACTGCTATTTACAAAGGGGTATCTAACTTATGTCAAACGCTCACTGCCTCACGCAAGAGATAAGGAACGCTTACCATACGCTCACAGAAGACAGAAAGCGTACGCCAAACGCTTACTGCCTGACCCCACGGATGACGCAAGCACACCAAACGCTCACTGCCACATGGTACGGGATATGTAACATACGCCAAATACTTAGTGCCTTTCGCTGATGGCGCATGCTCACCAAACGCTAATCACCACATACCAAGGGATAATTTACGTATGCCAAACGTTATACGATAATTTACATATGCCACCGTCTTACGCAAAGGACGGCGCACACCACACTCTCCATGTTCTACGCTAACGGATATCTAACTTATGTCAAACACTCAGTGACATGTCAAGGGATAAATCAACCAGATCTCGGGTTAGGCTCCATTCCTGCTTGGAATTGATACGTCCCACTTCATACTTGCAGATATTTGGACGAAATATGAAAGGGTTGACTCATTATAACATGCATTATTGGTTTTCTTGTTTTTTGTACTTTTCTTGACTTTTTTTGAATCTGCAATGCCCTCCTTGTTCGGGGTGAGGTTTTTACTTTTTTGTACTATTATTGTGTTTTGTTAACGTATTCACATACTTTTTTGTACTCAGTGATCGAAAAGATGTTTCGAAAGTTGAATGACCTTCTGGTCGGTCAATCACGTCCACGCTCAGTTATCCATCGGCTCAAACAAGCAGAAGAACATTATCTTTTAACCTTCATAAAAGTTACTTAATAAATAATGTTTCACAGCCGGTTGAAAATTTTAAAATAATTGTTTTTAAACCTGGAGCAAAAAGATTCAGGAAAACCAAATGTGAACGCAAATTGACCATATCAGAGAATGTTACAAAACAAAACAACAACAAAATCTTTGTTCTCTACGAGTAACGGCAAAATTATTACCTTCTATTACCGTTCTTTATTTTCCTGTAAAACTGCGACCGGAAATAAAATGCTTCTTCGTAATAGGAAGCGCACTGAAGAGTTGATTCATTTGTCTGGGGAGCGAGGACCGGCAGGCAACAAGGCTGAATTGCAGCAACAAAAGCCGGTGAGTGAGAACACGATTGACGACATCGCTGATTGCGTCGCTGCTCTGACATTGCCGCGCCCGGAAAATCTAAAGAAACTATAGAACCTTGCTAAACATGCTCACGCATCCTCCATTGTTCATCTATAAATTGTGCCAAAAACGCAGTCTCCCCTCGTAGTTTAAAAAACAATTGAATGCGGCGCTGCCTTCTTTAACCGTCATTCCAAGTACCAAATCTAGCCTACGAAAATGTTTCAAACCGAGAATGATCTTCATGACTATACGTATGTTATGTAAGTGCGGGAATGTAAATATTTTTCGAACTTGATTTTCGGAATAATATGCTTAACTATTAGTAACTTCAGGCGGAAGTCCTTCATTTTTTAGACAAGAAGGAAAGAAAGAACTAAAAAAAGAAAGAAAGAAAACAGTGGGATCACATGTCCAAATATGTGTTACAAATTGTTTGCTTTTTATAAGTTAACTTGCAAACCAATGAAACTAATGAAAATAAAGTCCCATTTTAGTGCTCACAAGAGGGCAAGTGAAAAGTGTTGTAATTATGATATATTATTATAAAAAACAGATATTAGACTTTAAAAATATACACGCTCATCGGACGTTCTATTACAGCGCAAAGTCGGTTCATTTTGATATGATTTTGAATAGAAACCCGATTGACATTCATGGCTGTAAGCGCACCGCAGGTACTTTTTCTTCCACTACTGAATGACGAGCAGTCGTGGCGTAAGTGCTTTTTGTAACTTCGCAACGGCTGGCCCCACTTCCGGCACGTGAAGGCCGCAACGGGTCGCAGCGAAACACGGATTCCCCGTCCGCCTGTGGCGGAGCGCGGCCCGCACGCGCACTTCGGATGCCAGGTGCCCCTCCGCCACCCCGCTCCGCTCCGTCACCCGATGCGCCCCCGGCCGGCGGGCGACGTGGACGGGACGCGCGGGCCTCGAGAGGCGGGGCGGTGGGTGGCGCTGGGTGCGCAGGAGAGGACCGTCAGGCTGGGACAGGGCCCGCATCCCGGGACGTTGCAATATGCCTATCTACTGTCATCATTATCATTATTCAATGTAGTGTTTATTTTAATGCGGTGGGTAGATAGGGTGGTAGATGCGGTGGGTAGAAATCACCAAATAAAAATCTAAAAGACGAAGAAAGAAAGAGAGAGAGAAAGAAAAAATGAGAAAGAGTGGTGTTACAAAATGGCACAGAATTTCTCGCCGAATTTCTAGCTTCTGTGGCAAGATTTTTGGTTTTGACCCACCCTCTTCCACCTTTGGTACTTAAAAAACATTTTTTCACATTACGTCAATTTTTCGGCCCCCTGGTATTATAACTGAAATACGATATTAAAATATTATAGAAGAGTATATACTTGTTCAATTTGTGAATTTTCATTGAAAATGTGGAGCGTTTTTTTCAGACAATGTCTTTTGAGCATTTCTGAAAATGGACAATTAGGATTAGGAAGCCATTAAAAAGTTTTGAGTTTTCGAGAAACTTAACAAGAAATAATCTGAAACATACTAATACCAAAAAAAAAAACAATAATATATTTAAAAAAAGGCCCCAATATATATTTAAAATAATCACTTTCGCTTATTTTTTGAAAAATGGACGAATGTATCAGAATGGCGTTTATGTCATGTTATTCAGTGGACATAGTACTAATTCAGTAATAGAGTCAACGGTGAAAATCGGACCATGCTATCATTATAAGTGTATTTCACGATAGTTTTACAAGAATTTAAAGAAAAAATGTAGTATCTTTTTTTGAAAATTCGGAAAATGTATCAAGGACATCATTTAAAGTTATTCCTAAATTAAACTATTTTTTTCAATATCATAAATAGTCATTTGGGAAACATACTACGAATAGTATAATTGGTAGCCTTGATCAAAAATGAACGGCCGAAAGAAAAAAAAAAAAACAAGTGTTTTTCGGTTATTTTTTGTTGAAATCTCAAAATCGATTGTCAGAAGCTTTACATAACTTTTTTTTCCGACTGCCTATATTACTACATGTCTATACTACAATATAACTGTAATTAAATAATACTACTTATATTTTTACGGGCCTACACATACCAACGTCTTAGAGGTACTTACAATAAAAATATAAAAAATATGAATAAAAGTAAAAAAGAAGAAATAGCAACAGAAAGATACAACGGAAGGAAAAGAAACAGATGAAGAATCAAAAGAGGAGAAAAAAGCCGATAGAGAAACAAGCCAAAGAGGAAGAGGAAGAAAGAACAAACACAGACTGACGAGCAACAAAACGCCAACTGCGCGAAAGTGCACGCCCATCACGCAGAGAATCCGGGCGTCCCGTCCCCAGTGGGGGTCGAACGCGCGCCCCTTGGCCCAAGGCGCCGTGCGCGGCCGCGCTCGCCCCCCCCCCCCCACGCGCGCGGCTCCATTTCTGCGAAGCGCGCGTTTCGCAAATCTTCATCGCCGCGCGCCCTTCGCTCTTACGTCGCGCCGGCCCGCAGCCCTCGCCAGCGGCCGCCTTTCGCCCGCCGGGCGGCGGGGGCGGGGTGGGGCGGGGCGGGCGGGACGGAGGCGGGGCGCGTTTGCATGGCGATGAGCGCAGCGGGGCGCGCACGGCGCAAGGTCGCCCCGCGCGCCACAGTGCGCCCGAACCAACGAGCGCATGAGCGCGCACACGCTGAGCCAAGCAGCCGGCGCAATAGAGCTACTTTTTCATCCCCACCACTTGGATTTCTCGCATATATACTACAGACAAAGTTGAGGAGCGAACATTCCAAACGTGACTCGTCCACTTCACTTTTTTCTAATAAAAAATGAAAAAAAAAATAGCACAAATTTTACACATTTTAACTGTTTTAACTCAACGAATAGATTTGTACTTAAGTACGTATTGTAAGACATCTCACATTTGGATCTGGAAATCAAATTCTAAGTAAAAATTGTAGAAGAATTCAATTTTTGGTAAATAGGCATGTCACCTATTGAATATTTTCCTCCTTAGTGGTGCAATGTAGCCAAACTGCAATGGTGCAAAAAATGTTCTGGTTTTGATAAATATTTACACGTATGGGGGGTCCCACATATTGAAAAAGTATTTTTTTTATCGTGTGCCTCTTCGTCTCTGTGCATATGGACAACACTAGCGCCCAAACCCTAAACTGCACTTTTCTGATATTTTGAACTGATATTCTCTTATACATTTCGTTTAAAATTAATGTCTCCAAATTTGGAAGAAATCATTTAATTTTACAGAGATACTTATTATGACGCTGATGCTACGTTTCCACATTAAAAACTAAAATTTCTTTCTTGTATTTCCAGGTATGGATGTATGATTCGATGACATATTGTAACTTACTTTCAATGATATCCTAGCAGATATATATAACAAATGAAATATTTAAATGGCACACGCCTCTTTTTAAAAATATGAAACATATTTGGTGCACAGGAAATGACATTTTTAAAATAGGTTCTCAAACCACTCACCCACCACAATATGTACTCTATCTCGATATTGTTTTAAACATGTCCGTCGTTGAAAAAGGGTCAAAGACGTGTCAGTTCTTGAGACTTGAACTTCAGAAAATTACTTCATAGGCAAAATAAAATATTCTCTTTAAAATGTACTTCCATTTTTTCAATAAATGATAAAAATTATCTAGGAAATAGACTCTGTGATAACACAAGAAACAATTTAAATTATGGCAACATTTTACATTCGCCGAAAGTGATTATATCAGTATCATCACTCTTTAAAAGGAGTTAAAAATGTATTCTAATGAAGCCATCTTTTTAAAATTATTTCTATATTTCATAGTCCTAGAGCTCAAAATATATAGTATTTAACCACACTATTCTAGTTTATCACGCCATTTACTAAAATATTCATTAGCTACTTATGTGTCTCGTGAAAAATAATCGAGGCATTTGAGGACTAAAAACAAAACACTTTCGAAAAAGCAGCAGATATTATTCATTAAAATGTTTTCTGTTGGTACCTGAATCGTAGAGTATTCATGATTTTACTATTTACAGAAACACTTTCATGATCGAGAGTTAGGAAAGGGATTAAGAAATATCGAGAACCCAGGATAAACGACAAGTTTTTTGTCATTCATTCCAATGTGTTAATTAAACGTTTAATTGAGAAATGTGAAGAAAATATATTTAGTACATTTACAAATAATTCAATTCCATTTCTTTAATACAACTCTGATTTTAGTTGAAAGTTTTACTGTAAAATACTGTATTATCAATT